AAAGAGCTTAGAGATGACTCAAAACCATCTCTTGGAGATGTGGCGTCTTTGACCTCTTGCTCACAATAAATGAAGCACCCTGTTTCTTGCCAGTCCTCAATAAACCATCATCTGAGTTATTATTTTCTGAAATGCATTTCTAAACTACGCTTGCTATAAGAATCTCTTAGGGATTTTGTTTCTTTCTAAGACTGCCTGGGTTACACACACTTCCAGTGACTGTGCTGTGTTTGCACAGCCCTGTCCCGAGGCCAGGTTCTCAAAAACGCTTCTTGTTTCCCTGCAGGTTCTGAGGGTCTTCCCCTTCATGTAGCTGGTGGTGGGCAGGCACATGCAACGCCTCCCACAGTCTGTTTTGTTTTTCTTAAGAGCAGATCTTTAAGAAGGATCACTTGATACTGCTTGATTATCTTGTTGTTTTTCAGCCACTGAGTGGCGGGAGCTGGGTGCGTTCAGCTGAGTGCTTTGCATCCTTCCAGAGTTAGATAGGGTAATGTGTAAAGGACACAGTACATCTTTGAGGCACGTCATCATCCCTGTGGTTGAGAAGACCTGAGTGTTCTGGGGTTTCTGAACAATACGCCATGCAGTCATTTTCAGCATGCATACCTGAATATTTTACCTTGGCTCATCTTAGTGTGCCAGATTTTGTCGCTGGACTCTGTGACCTGTGGAAGCTGTAACAGCACAGCTCTTCTCCTCCAGAAACTCTCAGCACCCTGTGCAAGTACTGTCAGTTTAGCTTTTTCTGATCTACTGAATCAACAGAGAGGCACGATGAAACATTTTAGTGAGAGCCTTCTGCTTTGGAAGGCACAGTTAGAGATACAGCTACGTGCCTTGAGTCTCTGCGCTGCACAGAGCTCACTGTCACAGCTGTAGCTCATCTCCTGCACTCTAGGATTGATTTTAGTACACTGGTGTCCAAACTAATGGCTTGCCTGGGCTGCAGTGAGTGAAGGGCTGATGTTTTGGTTGCTTGCCGGGGGTGAGCTGGGCTGGGAAGAGCTGCTGCCACGATGGCACAGTGTCAGAGGGCAGGCTGCATTACATGGGCTGCAGGTTGGACGTGTCTGATTTAATGCAATGAAGAGCCTTGGCTGAGTTCTAGGGCCTGTTAAGCTGCTGCAGCGTTGGCACTGACCATGCTGCTTGGTCTGGCAAAGTTGACAGTGCTGGAATTTTCAGGTACTTTGTGTGCCTTCTCTGTTGTAGAAGTTGGAATGAGTGTTATAAGTGATAGTGCTGTTGTTGTCACTGAACCCAAGCCCTTTGCAGGACCACCAAAGCTGCTTCTGTCCTCTTTCATTGAGGAGCATTGAACTGATTCAGGCATCTGAGAAAGTGAAGTGTTGGAAGGTAGAAGGAACGCATATTTAGAAAAGCTCATCCAGTGTGTTTGTGGGCCTTCCTAACCCTGGCTGTACAGCAGCTGTGAGCTGTACAGCCCTGTCTGCCTGCACCAGGGCTGAGTGTTTGGCAGCAGCAGAGAATTTTGTGGAATTAGTGTTTCAAAATAAGCTTGAAAATTCATGAGGTTGCATTGAAGAAATATTGGGGGAGTGAAGACAGAATGATTAAATGAAACATTTTCATTCTGAAATAATCAATGTGCTGCCGTTAAATCTGGCTGCTGTGAGATACTTGGTGCAGACAGGCTTTGTGAGTTTACCTTAGAGCTTGGATTCAAAATAAGTAGGATGATGGAGCTTATTATATGGAGCTTATTTAAAATACCTCTGGCTTAGCAGATATTGTTTTAATTTGCAGGAACAAGGCACTATCATCTTTTTTCACGTGAAAAGTTACTGGTGTATTTGGTCTCTGAGTTGAAGGCTTTGACTAGTATAAAGTAAGGCTGGTCCTGCCATACGAAGAGCACCAAGTGCGTTTGTTTGCTCCTTAATGCATTGATACCAGTGAAGGCATCGTGTCTTGTTCTGCTACTGGATGTGAGATTTATTTATCTTTCCCTTGCTTAGTCTAAAGCACCAGCTTTTGCTAAGAACGCTTCAGAGATTCTGAGTGTTGGTAGCAGGTTCGAGTCCTAACTAGAAACAGTGCTAGGGTATAATTTGTGCATAAAGAGGGCAACCTAGTTTTCTTTAAGTATACTTACTAAGAGCAGGAGCATCCTTTGGATTCCTCTGGATATGGAGACTGAAGTGGAAGGGAGGCTGACAGCAAGTCAGGGCAAAGCTTTGTGCAGTGGGTGGAAAGGGTACTTCTCACCAGACACATTTGTGTGTGAACTTTAATGTGACTCGCTGCTCAAGTTCTCCCATGAGCCTCTTCATTTCTGCAGTTTATGTCTAGTATTTTAAACTGTCATTTGTGGAAGGAGGTGTTTTTTCTGCAAACATGCAGATCTATGGCTACGTGAATGAGAACTGTTTCTCTGCTAGTTTATTTTACTCACTGAACTTGTTTAGAGAAAGCGTAGGTACCACTGAGCCTACTCACTAGCATTTGCTGAGGAGGGACCCTTCTGCCCCCTTTTGATGCAGTGTTTTTATAATGCCATTTACTTTCTGTACTTTTGGGCCTCTTTGGGGCTTAACCATTTTTATGGAAAGCTGGGTAACCTGTAGAGAATCACAGCTGGACTCTTCAAACAAGCCAGTGTGCATGCCACCTGCATGGCAGGAGTCAGAGCAACTAAGCCTGCAAGTCCAGGTCGGAGCTTGCCTGTCTCATTGTGCAAGTCCACATGCCATCCATCCCTTTTGTGTTCTGCTCTTCTGCTGCTGCATTGCCTGCCCTCTCTGCCGGTCCCATAAGGTGAAGAGAAGGAGAGGCTGCTGCATGGAATCTGTAAAGGTACTGAAAGATACGTTTGGTTGGATTTTTTTTCCCCCATCAAGTAGATAGTTGGTCCCTGGATGAATTAGGACTGTAAGGAACTTCTGAGCTTCACTGTGAGCAAGGAGAAGCTTTAAATAGCCACAGCATTGCATGCCCTAGCTTTTGCATCAACATAGTGAATAAGTACAGCTGCTTATGGCGTCCTGCCCAGAGTGCTGCTGCAGGTAAGGGACATAAAGCCTCTTCAACTTTCATTGTTACTTAACGTACACCTAGAAGTTTAAAACATGATATTACACTCCTAACATCATTGTAAGTTGATGCAAAGAATTAAAGAATGATGTATTCATGGCACAGAGATGTAATCGTTCCAGTGTCTTTGTGCTTTGTGATTAGAAATCCCTGTTTTACAACTGCTGTTGGATTGTCTGATAGTTTTTCCTGTTCTAACATTTCTGCATTTGCTGCCTGTTCTTTTGCAGGCAAATGTGTTTTTTTAATACATTGAGAGGAAAATGCTGTCTTCATAAATTGACATGCAGATGAAAAGGAAAAACTGAAGAGGTAGAAACAACACTGCTTCTTATTTGATGCGTTATAAGTCAGCGGAAAACTGACAACCATTAGGGGTGGAGTGAACTTCAGGAATCTTTTTACAGAAGTAAAACTAGGAAACTACTTCTACATTCAGTGCAGAAAGGGATTTTATGGTATGGTTCATGATGTCAGGAATAGAGGAAACGTGTGTAACGTTTTGCCTGCAAGAGGCAGTGCTGCACTTTGCAGTTGGTGTTTGGCTGTATCCTTTGTAGGCACAACCAGCACCTGATTCCAGTAGCATTGTGCAGATAAATGTTTTGAAGGGTCCCGCAGTGCTCAACCAGAGCAGCATTGCATCCCCTGTCCTTTACTCAGTCAAACCCTGTCTCATCCCCGACTTGTTAGGCATCCTGTAGCCCAGTGGGCGCAGCGTTATTTATGTTTTTATGCTCTGGTCTGCTTCTCTCTCAGTTCCGTGCTCAGTGCTTGGTTTTAGTTAATTACTGGCCTTCTGTCCGGACTGCTCTCTCTTGTGGTTAACCACAGGGATTTGTCTCGTGGCTCTCCAAAATGTGCTACAGGCTATGATGAGGAGTCTGTGTCACCTGAGGAACACAAATGTCCTTTGCTCTGCTGCTCGGGTTTTCCTTGAGCAGTGGAGGAACTGGTTTCTGCTGGCATTCAGCTACTGCTGGGCTCTGCTTATCTGTAATTCTCAAAAGAAGCCAGCTGGACTGCCCCACAGGGCTCTGCAAAAGCCTCTGCCTGGAGGCCGTGTCCCCACTGAAAGTATTTGATTCGAATTAAAGAGAAGATGTTGGTAAAAGCTGAAACTGTTGCAGGATTGTACTTGGGCCACCATCACTGCAATAACACGGGGGAACGAGATGGGAAGTTTATCATCAAGTAAGCAAATAAGACTGCTTCGTGTCTCAGCTTAGGGGAGGATGAAGCTGAATATTTTCTCCAGACCTTAAAAAGTGCAAATGATGCAACGCTGTCTCTTCAATGTGGCTCTCCTCACCATTTTCCAGTGTGCAGTGCACTCATGGCTAAGGCTTCTGACACTGAGAACCCAAAGTCATAGAATCATAGGATCGCTCAGGTTGGAAAAGACCTTCAAGATCATCGAGTCCGTCCACAACCCAACCATCCTACCCCAACTCTAACAACCCTCAGCTAAATCCTGTCCCTGAGCACCACATCCAAACGGTTTTTAAACACAGCCAGGGATGGAGACTCAACCACCTCCCTGCCATAATCCTGCCATAGGGAAACAGTTTGAGTGCAAAGCTGTGTCTGGTCAACCCGGGCTGGTGGCATTTGTCTCCTGGGGTTGTTGGCTCATCACCTTCTGAAAAGTAGCACCAGTTGAATACACGTGGGTTAATTTGCTTCCCAACAAGGGTTTGGTTTGGGAATAGGCCATAGAAACATTGTAAAACTGTCAGCTGAAATGGAAGTAGCCTTTTTGTGTGGAAGTTACTTTCTCTCTCTTTGTGTGGTGCCTGTGTGTGTATCAGTAATGGCATTTTTGTACTTTCCCACACCTTCCTATGACTCTGTATTTTAAGCACTGTGTATTCAGAATGGTCTGTGCTCATCAGCTCTTTGAATTTAGTGCATCTCCCATCTTTCTCCTTTTCCTTTTCTAGTTTGCAAAACAGTGCTCACTACGAATTCATTGGAATGAAAATTACATGAAAGTATGAAGCAGACAAGACCTTCCTTGCAACTCTTCCTCAAATTTGACGTGTTCTGAAGTCCACTGTGTTTGTGCTTTGTTCCACCGCTGTGTGTAGCAGTGTGGTTGGCTCCTATTAGCTTTGATATGCTGCCTGGGGCCTCAGCTAAGATTTGAGCTGTGTTTGGAAGGAGAAAAGAAGTGTATTATGGTGAATCTTATGATGCAAAGCCCTTCCTGACTTTGTCAAGATGAGGTGTTGCAGTGTGGCTGACAGAGATGTCTTCATAGTAGTGCTTGGTGTTGTGCTTTCACCATGCCTGTGTTTTCACTTCATCCCTTCCAGCTGTTCCTCTCATTTCCCAAATGGTTTTGCAGGAGACGTTTCCTGGCCTATCAACTGTCCTTAGCCAAACTATTTCCTTTCTTTACATTTTAGTTTCCCCAGTAATAAAATGGAGATAAAGAGACCTGCTTTCTTTTGTCAAGCACTTAGTCATGTGCTTATGAAATGTTTAAAGATTTTTTTATTTATAACCTCTATACAAATAGCCCAAGTTTGTTTGAATTACTTCATTGAAGTCTGAGGTTCTGAACATCCTTCGTTTTTGACAAGGTATGTTATTGATGGCAGTAAAAATGCTCAGAATATGAAGCTATTGACTGCTGTTTATGGGTATTAAAGCATTAAATGTAATTACTGCCTATTATCAGTTATTCCAGCATCTTTGGAATCTATAAGTGGTTTTCCACAGATAGCTCTCTTGGTTACCTAAGGATGGTCCATTAAAGGATTTTCAGCAGAGGCTTTTATTGCTTCCTGGTTAAAATGTTTTTTCCATATACTCTGTCCACAATGACTTCAGCTTTAGGAGGAGCTAATAACAACCCCTTTGTGAGGTAACTGGATTGCACAGAGAAATTCAGGCCATATGTTGAGGTATGTGCTGCCAGTCTGAGTTGTAATTCACCTTCGTCACCCCACTGTGCTGCCTTGGATTGGGACAGTTCCTCACTTGACCCTGGTGCTACAGCTCTGAAATAGCTCAGAGTATTTCCTTGAACATAGCATTCCCTTGCCCTCTGACAGCACAGCACATAGCTGGTTTCTCTGCGTGGCTCGGCGGCAGCTTTCCTTTTGTTTTGCAGACAGTTTCCATCCTGGAGCAGAGGCTGACCCTCACGGAGAACAAGCTGAAGGAGTTTCTGGAGAACCAGCAGAAAATAATTCAGAACAAAGAGAATTGAGTTTGTGAAAGAGGAGCGCTGCTGAAGGCCCTTGGGGGATGCAGGGGTTTGTATTCTCAACAGACTGGGTGACTTTAATGGTTTGGAAAGTAATCAATTTTTAATTCGTATGTACAGTTACTGTATCTGTAAATACAAAGCTTTGTTACTTTACTAAAATAAAAGATTTTTATTTGTAAGAGTGGATGATTTTTGTGATTTCTTATGTCTTCCAGGTACTGTAGGAACCAGTGAGGGGTTTGAGGACCATCTGAAAAGGTTTCATCTCTCCTGCCTGAGCTGCTGCTCAGTTGAAGCGCTTAAGCATTCTAGAGCTGCCAGATGGTTTGTTGCTGGCTATGTGGCTCAAGGAGAATCTCCCAGAATATCCTGGCCAGTGGGAGCTCCCCTCTGTTCTCAGATCACAGATCCTAGTTAGCACCTGTTGAATGGTCTGCCTCACCAAGTTCCAGTTCCTGCCTGGCAAATTTGATGGCATGGATTAAATGCTGGTTTTGTACAGAGGTTAGCCCAGTGGTGGGATTTAACCTGCTTCCTCATGCAGTCTGTGGAAGACTTTGCTGTGCTGAGGCTAGAGGAAGGGCCCTAGCTCTGCTAGGTCAGATGCTGGGTGGATTGTCAGGCAGCTTTTGTTTTGTATCTGTCCATTTATTTAATTTAAAGGAAGGGGAGAGGGGGAGAAAAGGCAACCAGATAGCAGCACACTGGCTGCAGTCAGAAACCTTTTCTCTTTTGACTCTGGACTGCCTTTAATTTTCAGTCATTTTGCAGATGATTTTACAGCTGAACAGCTCATCACTCACCCCCTTCCCTGCATCACACGCTCCTAAGACTTCCAGGTCTTTAGCAGGTGTTCAGTATATAGCTGCAAAAGAATTTGGACTTCTGGTACATGCTGCTCTACAAGATAGCTTTTGTGAACACACACGAATTATTGTAATAATCTGTTCTGTACATTCTCAAGAAATGAGCTGTAGCAACTTGAGTGTCTCTGGGTTCACCAAACCCTCCCCACGACTTTCTGAACCATTGGGAGTTTGCTTCTCTCCCAATCCGTGACAGTCACACTTGTTTGCCAGACTCCAGGGCTTCCAAAGCCCCCATCTCCAGATGTGCTGTGGGCATCGCAGATGCTTGCGACTTGGCTGGCACCCTTCTTTCACATAGAGCTTTACAGACCTTAAGGCTACACCAGTGTTTTGCACCTGTTCCTGCTGCAGTCTGCTTGTACTGTGTCTGGACTGTTAATCCTCTTCCCACGTGGACAAGGCTGTTTGCATCCCCTGCCATCACCAGGAGGTTTTTGCTCTTTCCATTCTGGTGCTTTCCATGTCTTTAGCCCCTGTTGGCACTGTCACTGTTTTTATATTTTTATTAATTTTCTTTCATTTGTGTGAAGCTTTCTCGTTTCCATGCTTTTTGGGTGGATTGTAAATGTGAGTTTCTCTGTGTTCTATCACACGATTGTTTTCTGTTTCTGAGCTCCCAGTCTGATTAATGTTATTTTCTGTCAGATTACGATAATGGAATCACTTCTCTGAAAAACTTCCATTCTCTTGCTATAAGCTTTCAGTGGCTTTCCACAGAGAGAGAGAGAGAGAGACTGTAACCATTTTAGCTGAGATGAACAGATGTGATGGACTGGCTGGGAGGAGGGGATTCTGATGTGTGTGCCTGTCCTGCCCCTGAAACAGTGACAAAAATGAGCTGCAAGACCTTCATTTGTCAACCTGACCCCAGCGCTGTGAGCTGGCTTTTGAGGTGTAGGTATGGAGAGGATGTGAAAATGAGCTGTTCCAGCGGCCGTCGATTTTTAAACTTCTCTTAATTGGTAATTTCTAATGTCTTGGATGCCACAGAAGTGATTTGCCATTCTCCCTAACGTACTGTATAAGGTACAAATGACTCGGGCACATTTGATAAAGATGCTTTTTTTCTTTCAGACATTAAGTGAATCTGTTTGAAAGATAATTGTGCTTGTAAAACAGATGAGATGCTCAGGTGCTGAAGGACAAGCTAGTGGGATGCAGGAAAAGTTGCTTTTCCTTACTTAGCTTCTTAGAAGTATTCATTTGATCAATGAAACCTGTTCTTGTAAAAGTAATGCGCCATGGGTGTGTGTGAAGAGCGAAGGGAAGGGGGAATCTACCAAGTTCCACGTGATTTCGGTGGTAAGAAGGGGATTTCTTTTGACAGTGCTCTCCATCTCAATCATTTCCTTGCCCTGTATCTTGGCAGCATGCTTTCTTTTCAGTGTCCCCTTCCTATTGCCTCTTACCTTGAGCTGAATATCAGGACTTAAAATGTACCAGCACTTCTAATACCTGGGTATTACTTGGGAGGCAGGTAAGATGTGGAAAGCACACTTTAAGTAATCGTTCTTGAGCAATAAGCTCAAAAAAACATTTGAGGAGCCCAAATCCTCCTGTCCATCTTTTCCCTGGGTTCTGTGCTTAGCTCCATCCATGAAGCGCCATGTTTCCACACGCTGAGGTCAGGATAGCTTCCAGAATGAGTTGAATCCACTTCTGCTTTTACATTTGTGTGTGTTTGTTTGTTTGTTTGTTTTTTAAATTGTATTTTACTTGGGGAATATCTACAGTAACTGATTTGCAAAGCCATTAACCCGAGAAGCAATGGATCAGCTGTGAACAAGGAGCCTGACATCGCTTCTACACCGTGTGAGGGTGATATGGCATGAAAACTGCTTGTGGTAAGCTCTGCAGGAGGAGGCTACGAAGAGTTAAATATTTTGTTTTGGATCTCCAAGGCACACAGGCAGCCAAGCCAAGTTCTTAAAAAAGTAGTTTAATTTGTTGCCATTATATTTGCCAGATGTATGACCTCACTCAAGTTTTAGCAACAGTTCTTTGTGCTGAGATTGGTCCCTTGGGGAAGCAGGTTGTGCCTGGAGGCTGCTGCAAATGCCTTTTTAATATTTCTATGAATCTGTGATTTTGGCTGCTCTGAGCATGAAGCACGTTCAACGTAACTGCGATGGGCAAAAAAGTTAGGAATCCTCATGCTCTGCCCGCTTCCCTTCCTGTGGGAGAGCTGGAATTAGGCAGATACAGCAGTTGAGTTCATAACTGAGCAGACAGAAGCACTGGAGCACTGTGGTATTGATTCTTCTGGCCAGGAAGTGAGATGGCCAGGAGAATCCTCTGCCTGCATAATGGTTACATGTGTTTGTCAGCTAATTAGAAAATAAGACCCAACTATGATCTAAGTCTCTTGGTGCTCACCACTTTGCATAACATCTTTAAAGATCTGCTCTTAAGCAAAGGGTTATTTGAAACGTGACTGAGCAGGAGGGGAGGGAAACAGATCAGTTTGCAAAGGTTTGTTGCTTGTGACACGGGAGTGGTGCTACATTTCTTCCCTTGCTTTCAGAAATTGTCTCCTGGTACAGTGCAGATGCTTCTCAAATCGTTCATACCGGTCAGCTCTAAGAACAAAGTGTAATGAGAAAGAATATTCTCTTACTGATTTTCTTCTGTATGTTCAACCTCGATTTAGCCTGCTTCAGAAAGCCTATGTGTGTTTCCAGGAAAGCTGGGATCTATTTCTAGCTCTGTGAAGAAACTGCCACTGCAGGCAAAAATCACTCTTCAATCCCCCGTTCTCTTTGTTGCTGGAGATGAATATAAATCGCTTCCTCTTTTGACGTGCAGTTTCTGTGGATGGAGAGCTAATTGAATGTAGTGTGTCAGGGAAGAGAGGGGTCAGCTCATTCCCAGAACACGTCTCTCATCCTTTACCTTCTCCCTTCCTGTAGCCCAGCAGCCATGTTTCTGGGGATGTGAGGACTGACCACCTTGCTGTTACATAGTGCACCCATTGCTGTCACCTGAGGCTTCAGCGTGAGGCTGCAACTCCCTGCTTGGTGCGTGAGGTGCTGCTCCCCAGGACTTTCCTGCCAAAGGGCTTGTGCTACACCAACAGCCATCAAAATGACCTGGTTTTAGAGGAGAAAACAATCCCTTGAAGTTAAATGGGATCATTTCTGAACGAAAACTGAGGTATGTGTCAGAAGAGGGAGCTGTGGGGTGACGTCTCGTGGGGAGTGAGCATCATGAACGACTGGGGACGTTGTGGCACGTGCTATCTCATAGCCTGCTTAGCAGCAGCTGAGACAAGCTGGATGGCTTTGGGTCTGTGAATTTGCCATCTGCAAAGAAGTCTTTCCATGCTGACTACCTTTAGATTTTTATCCTCACTTCAGTCCTGTCTTCGCAATAACCCGACACAGCAGGAAACCCACTGCTCTGTCTCCTTCACTGTTCCTGATCCCTGCAGGCCTCTTCCACACGACTGATGACTTGCTGCTGCCCTCTGGGCACCCATCAGGCTGAGAGTATGGCGATGTTCTGCATGGTGCAATGCTTGTAGTCAACCACGAAGATGGTTTTTCAGCAGAGTTCCAACAAGTGGTAACACAAAGGTTAATCCCATTTACTCTGAGAGCTCATGGCTGTGCAGCATGCTGATGGTGGCAGCTGCTCTTTCAGCTGATGACCAGAAGGGTTAAACTAAGCTGTTGCCTGGATGGAGCTCTAGCATTGCTTCACTTCCTTTCCTCCACCCTTTCTGTCAGTATTTTCTTAGCAGCTGTCTGGGAGCTGTTCCACCCAGACTTCCCCTCATGTGTGCCTACAAAAACACACTGTTTTTGGTAAAGTTTCCATTGTCACATTTGCAGCCATCTGAAAGCCAGAGCCAGGCTTTGGTGCCTGAAATATAGCAGATCTTCTGAATGGAGGAGAAACTTCCCTTCTCAGCCTTTCCAGCTTCTGAGGGTGCTAAGCACTGTGAGGTCATCCCTGGAGGATAAGCTCCTTGTAACAAGATAAAATCTCATTGAGGGGTTGTTGCTTCTGCCCTTCTGTGAATCTGCTCTGCAAATATAAATGCTGGGTCCATACAGTGCAGCAGGCTGCCTGGTGCTAATCAGGTTAGCAGTCAGATGGTTTCT